GACAGGTGTGCTGATCTTAAGATAACTGACTTGTGATGAAAGTGGAAAATGAATTTTTAATGACTGCCTTGCCGTTTAGATTTGTTTATAATTTTTTCAAGAATGGGGAGAACTATATCAGCTTTGCCCTCACATGGATACTATCTGTAAATGATACAGAACTTTTTCATTGTCTTTTTGAGTAGAGAGGAGTTATGGGCACAGTATTTTACTTCACAAGGTACTTTCAGTGGCTTTCCCTAATTTGTTGGCATTGAAATAACCACCTACCACAAATTCAATTAGGTAGCTAATGTCTATGACTAAGATGGTGAATAAATATGGAATGCACTCCTTTGTAGAATTTGGGGATATACACTCATTAGAAACATCAAATGCCAAAAAGTAAAAGACCTTTGTGTTATTTTGTTCCTGGCCCCCTATGTGCCTTCTGAAGATTAATATCACAGCAAGCTAAAAATCTCTTGTAATTTCTCCATTACCCTTTAACTGAGAGAGGGAGAGCCGCAGAGACTGGTTTAAGATACAGTGAACAGCTTTCAATGTAGAAAAATGCTCAGTGAAATAACTGACTTTCTAAAAGAAGACTCCTTGATTGGTTGGTGTTATTTTTTTTTTCAGTCTTTTTTTTTTTTTTTTTTTTTTTAAAGGTTTATTTATTTATTTATACGAGCACTGGGTACAGTCAGAAGCGCGGGAGGGTGAGAGAATTCACCAGCGCCAGAGCGGGGAGCAGAGCAGGCAGAAGGACCGAAGTACACTGCTGAGGGGAGCAGCGGGCGGCAGGAGAGGTCTGCGCGCCATGTGGGACCCTCCTCCGGTGGCCCGGGAGCAGCTGGGGATTGAACCGACGCTGCAGAGGCTGCGGGCAGCTTCGCAACCCAGCGCTCAACCGCTGCGCCACCTGGGAGGCCCAGTTGGTGTTATTTTTTTAATGGGATTTTTTTTCTCATATTAATTGGTTCACTTTGCAGGCAATTTCCTGTCATTTTGCTGGTGCTAGTTGCGAGTACATCGATGTGAAAGGCACCAGTCAAGAAAACATTGAAAAGGAAATTGTAGACATGGCGGATAAATTTTATGGTGCTAAAGGAAACATTGACCTGAAGGTACGTTTGTATGAAATGACAAGGTCAAGATCTCATTTTAAAAAAATTTTTTTTTAAGATTTATTTTTATGCCTATAAGAGCTGGGGTACAGGCCAGAGGTACGGGAGTGGGGGTGCTGAGAAGATCTACCAGAGACAGAGTGGGGAACAGAACAGGCGGACTGACTGAGGTACATTGCTGAGGGGAGCAGTGGGCGAGTCAGGAGAGGTCTGCTGTGCCATGTGGGTAGCTCCCTGGCCAGGGATTGAACTCGTGCTGCAGTGGCTACGGTTAGCTTCATAGGTTGCGTCTTAACCCCTTGTGCCACTAGGGAGGCCCCAGAGATCTCATTTTTTCCTTTTCATCAGGTTTTAGTAAATCTCATACTTTATTTAATTTGAAAACATGAAGGGCTTGGTTTAGAGTTCATTTTGGAAACACTGCTGACACCCACTAGAAACAACAGTGGAATTTGAGTTTGGACTTTTTTCCCCAGAGTGGGGCATGTGAGAGCTCTGCTTCTCTGTCTCCGTGCCCTGTGGCATGCAGGCTGACCTGTTCCCAGGCAGGACAGGCAGGAAAGGAATTTAAAGGAGGGAGGTGAAGGTTAAAAGCAACCTTTGGAACAACATATAGTTGGATTTTGCTTTTAATCCAGCCACACTCTGTCTTTTGTTTGCTGAATTCACCTATTTACATTAAAGATGATTACTGATATATGAGGGTCTGCATCTCCCATTTTGTCTTAGTTTTCTGAAAGGTTGTTTATTTCTTTGTTCAGGTTTTTTCCTGTGTGGACCTTCTTTACTGTGATTTAGAGAGGAGCTCCTTTCAGTTTTTCTTGTGGGGGAGCTCTAGTGTTGGCAAACTCCTTTAGCTTTTATTAGGACTCAATTTCTGAAACACCTTCTGAGCACAAGAATCTCGATCTGCTCTTTATCCCTTTCCCCTTTAGAACATATTAGCATACCCACATCTGAAAATGCTCCGATTTTACATTTGCACATCCTAGAGAGTCCTGTCCTTTCCCTTTGCTCAATACTTAAAAGCTTTACATAGCTAACATATTCTGTCATCTGGGGCTTCTGTCCACAACCCTGAATTTTAAGGCAGAAAAAAAAGGTATACATTATGTTTGAGGTTTGTCATGATTCTGTTTATTTTAGTTACTATGTAAGTTGCAGTTTATCAGCTTTATTTAGGATAGCAATGCTCACTTCTCCTGTGAAGTTCTTTGCAAGGTACAAAAGTACTTCCGATATTACTTTTCTTATTTTTTTTTTTCTACCAAAACCCAATGAAGTAGTCATTATAGCTCCATGCTCTTAGTGAGAAAAGATTGTGGAGGCTTGGCCTAACTTATGTAAATAGCAGATTCAGCGTCAGGTCAAATTCCAAAATCTTTCCATCATGCCTTACAGTTGGCTCAGAAACAAACAAGAAAGTCTGAATTGTCTTAGGACAAAGAAAAAAACCCAAGTAAGCCAGTCATCCATGACATCATTGTCACAGTTCTGATCTAACCAGGAGTAGAATATTCAAAATGAGGCAGATGAGTAATATGGAGGAAAGCGTGTAAAGGGGTAGTAAGGAAGCTGCGTTGCGATGATCACACATAACACTCACCCAGTTGTGAAACCCGGAGGCACAGAGTGCCAGATGGAACAGGGCTGGCAGCTTGGGGACACTGTGTCCTAGTTTATTTAACACTCTCGGACACTGGAAAGTAAAATGATTGGAGTCGCAGGTTATGGTTTATTTACTAACTGATAGGGTTATTATGGAGATTTTTTTCCTGTTTAATCATTTATAGATGCAAGAAAACTGTTTTATCATAGAGTGAATAGACAAATTGAAATGTAGTTCTATAACCGTATTCTATCTGGCATTATTTCCAGGATGTTTGGAGATACCGAGCACGACTGGTGAAAGGAGAAAGAATCAATCTTTGAATGAGCCCTCTGCTTGTAACTCTCAGAAAGAAAACCCAAATGAAGCAAAGGAGGTCTACATACTTTCTTAAGGAGATGATGTGATCTTTTCCATCACAATTAACAAAATCAAAATGCATGCCTGGGTACTTATTGCATATGGTTAATTTTGCAGTGCAACGGCGCTTTATTAGATATAAAAATAATAAAAATGAAATATTAACATTCTAAGGAAAATTGACAGGAATTACTACTAATAAAGGTGATTGATATATAATTTCATTGTGTTAATGCAGTTTCTTTTATTCAGTTAGCTCCTCACTAACTCAAGTAGAAACTCAGGGTGTGTTGTTTTGCATTCATTTCCTAGAAAACCCACCACCTACCAATTTCATGTTACAAGAAAGTTCTTTCCAAATCCAGAACAGCACATTTAATGAAGGGCACAAGGGTGCTGTGGACTAAAAATAAGAGTGGGTAACTCATTGTGACATAGGATTCCTTCCATGACTTATCCAACCCAATCACCTTCCTTAAAGAAATAAACTGGATCTTTCCAAGTCTTTTTCTCTGTTCCTAAAGAATGAAGACAGGGGTAGCTTTATCCGCTATTTCTTATTGGGTAAGACAGCTGAAACTTTCACTATTGATGAAGGAAACCTAACCTCTTTCAAGGTGCCAGGAAATTACTGGATACTTTTGCTTTGGATTTCAAGTAAGCATGGATTGGGGAAATTTATTTTGATAGAGCAATTTATTGCTATACCAGCTGAGGGCAGTAGGGAGACATGGTCCTTGTTTTTTAAAATTCCAGTTAGAACTTTAGTATGAAAGAAAGAACATTCTGCTAAGCACAAGTTTTCTTAAACCTGGTTTCACTGTTTTTTGTTTGTTTCTGTGTGAAGACACCCAGGTTCGGCTCAGTTCCAGGTGGAAACTGGGATATGAGAGTTTTTGAAAACACAAAGTTTGATTCCCAGCTATTGCAGTGAAACAAACCCACTGGAACTCTTATACCAGATACTCTACTGAGTGGGAATGGGTCAATATTTCAGTATATGGTCAGTTACAGATAAGACAAAATGACACAAAGTTTTGAGTTAGAGTCTTGTTCTCTTTAAACTCCCAGAAAGTGAGACCTCAAGCATTCCTAAACTTACTGTATATTAAGTCTTACAAGGCATGAAGAAAGGAGTTAACAAAGCAGGGCTGAGATGTCTATCTTTAGAAAGGCCTGTTTACAAGGTTAATCCAGGCTGGCATCTGGGAACTTGCCAGGGTTCTCAATAATCCCAGAGCTGAAGAGTGGCTCAGTGTGTCCAAATTGTACAATGTGATTTATGCCAAACACCTGCTTTCTTTCTGGGATATGAGTTTGGGGTACACTGTAGGCATGGGGTGTCTGTGAGAGCAGCCTGGGTACTGAATCTCTAATGAGTTTCCCTTGTAGACAACATTGCACATGTGTTGTCACGATTCACGGTTGGAGTAATTAAACATGTCCTGTATAACTCCACCGAGAGTCTTCCTTTGCATCCCTTTGCTATAATGTCATGATAATGACAGTCTGGTGGGTACTCCGGCAAATCATTGTACCTAGGGATGGTCTTGGGTATCAACACAACTGGCACTAGAAATGGGATTCACTAAAATGATTCTTGACTCATTAAAATATCAAGAAAGCTCATTTGAGAAGAGGAATTATGAAATGTTGGGATGTTATTAGTTTCTAGTGGCTATGGAGTCACTGGTTGTATGCAACAGTGAGAGGTCAGTTAACTATGAAATTTACTAAATTCATTCAGCAAATATTTGTGAGGAAAATGAATGCATATTAATTCACTTCCTCTTTTGTATAGATGTTTTTGTGCTTTAGAAGAATCAGTATTAGAGAAAAATCCTTTAAAAAAGGATGTAGAAAGAAGTAGGTTGTATGTGTAACTCTTAAAAATAAAACACCAGGAAATAGTTTATATTTTTATTTAATTTACATTTTTATTTCTGTTTTAAAACATTTAAGAAAAGGTAGCAGTGTATACGATGTGAGATGCTAAATTATTACTATCTATTGTATTTGATTAAATTTTGCCACCAATTCAGTCCCTAAGCCGAAAGACAGAGCTCGTGTTGTAAAGCACATACCCACAGAATGTACTTTATTGTAAGCAATACTGTGTGTCTGCTCAGTGGGTCTCCTCACTTCATTCTCATCCACTGTCTGAAGGTTTAGGGGATTTTCCAAAGCATTTCAGAAATTTTATTAGGATCTAAAAAAGTAACCCAAAATGAAGTTTTATGAGTAATAGTGTGGCACATGCTTAATTTTTAATTATATTTAGCAATATTCAACCTAAAACTATTTATTTATTTATTTTTTTTTTAATAATAAATTTTATTTTTATATTCCCCATACAATTGCAGCCCCCCCATTCTGACCCCAATCCCTCCCCTCCCACCCCCGCCCCCCTAAAAGTGTCTCTGGTTCGTAGTTTTTTGTTGATTTTGATTTTCACTTTCTTATAGTTATTCGTTTTCCTGGTCCCTTATTTAAGTTAAAAATATGGAACGCTTCACGAATTTGCGTGTCATCCTTGCGCAGGGGCCATGCTAATCTTCTCTGTATCGTTCCAATTTTAGTATATGTGCTGCCGAAGCGAGCACCAACCTAAAACTATTTAAGGGCAATCCTATAAAATCTATTTCAGGTCATAGATGCCATTAGTCTTCTCAGTCTAGACTCCAAAAAGGGAAAGAGCTAGAAATAGAGGGGACAGGGAGGAGATAGTACTGGCTTTTCTCTAGACACGGTGTAGATTCTAAATACTCTTATCTTTGCTTCAACTATTCAGTTCACCTGGAACACCTTTCCCTTACATTCCCCTGTTAAGATCCAACCCAACCCATTTTTTTCTTTTCTTTTTTTAAAAGATTTATTCATTTATACAAGAACTGGGGTACAGGCCAGAGGCACCGGAGGGCGAGAGAATTCACTAGAGACAGAGCGGAGAGCAGAACAGGCAGACTACTGAAAACACTGCTGAGGGGAGCAGGGGGTGCGACAGGAGAGGTCTGCTGCACCATGTGGGTATATCCCTGGCTGGCTGGGAATTGAACCTGTGCTATAGAGTCTGCGGACAGTTTCACAGCACTGCGCTCAACCTGCTGCACCACCAGGAGACCCCCCCCCATTATTTCTTAAATGATACATTATTCTCAAGTCAGCCAGAAACATTTTTTCTTCCTTCTTGGTAACTGTTTACAAAATACATCCTGTCTATTGGACTCTACCTATTTTTGCAATCTTGTCTACTTTGCTAGAATGTTAAATCACTGAGGGCAAGGACCTCAATTGGAGTTGTCATTTTAATGTGCCCCATAATATTTAGCATAGTGCCTTGCACAGCAAGGACAGTCAGTCCATGTTTTCTTAATTGAACTAAGTCAAATTGAAATGAACTGAAATAACATGCCTCTTAAAGCTAGAGAGCCTCATATCAATCAACATGTCCAGAAAAAAGGCCATTTAAGAGGAATTATTTAATATTCTTACTATGACTTCTTTCTGTCCTTGGTGTCCTATATTCTCTATCATCTTCAAAATCTATTGCTCCTCATCCAACACTTCTTTCATCCCTCCACTTTTCACTATTAGCTGTGACTTATCAGTCACGTAGAACAGAGGCTGGTAGGAGCAGTACGCACAGAAACATGAACATCACCTCTAGTCAGTATTTCTCCAAAATCTCAAAGAAAGTTATTACTATTTCTTTATAAAGATTGGAGAGTACCGGGCCTCCCCTGGTGGCGCAGGCAGTTGAGCACCGCGCTTGAGGCTGTCTGCAACCTCTGCAGCGCCGGTTCAATCCTGGCCAGCCGGCGAGGGTCCCACATGGCGTGGCAGACCTTTCCTGCTGCCCGCTGCTCCCGTCAGCAGTGTATTTCGTTAGTCTGCCTGTTCTGTTACCTGCTCTGTCTCTGGTGAGTCCTCTCCCACAAATCTGGCCTGTACCCCAGTTCTTGTATAAATAAATAAATATATCTTTAAAAAAAAGATTGGAGAGTATCTTTAAAAAACTTTAAAGTCAATTTTTTTACTTTCTAATAATTCACCAAATTTACGGAGTCTGTCAAATTCATCAACAGAAAGTAAATGTTCAACGTTCAATTAATTTACACAAAAGCTATGACTTCATATTCTTCAGGGTAATACATTATTGACTTTTCAGCATTTTCAAGTCCTATACTTTACCATTCTTCCTTAGAAAAACTACAGTTATAGGTCATGTTCTACCTTAATGTGAATATGAGTGTCATACTTTATTTTTTTCTATTTCTACAAAGTTCATAAACTGGTTAAGTTCGCATCAAAGATATTAAAAGATAACTACTAATACCTTTTTACTTATGGCTTCTTAAATATGTATTGTACTGACCATCCATATTTATAATATAAAGGAATAAAGGACAAGAAATTTATTCCTTTCTAACAATGAGTTTGCAAAGCAACAAACCAATGCTTAATTTTTTTTTGAGATAACAGAAATACATACTGTTTAAAAGATAAATAACCTCTACAGGTATTAAAAACTAAATTCTTCAAAACTTTTGGCCATTAATCATTACATTTATTACTTAACTCTTGCTAATGGACGTGCAATCTAGAAATATTAAAAATAGTAACAAAGGAGAGAAATGTATACTTTGGTGGTATATACAATACAAAAATATGCCAAATGTATATTTTGGTTATTCTTTTAAAACATAGATCTTGCATGCTACTTTTTATGCAAAACCTTATGTAGTTTTTCCTTTTCTGAAAATTGCTTTCTTTAGCATTCAACTTAGGAGTTTTCACAACCCACACAGTATGGCAGACCTCTCCTATCTTGCCTGCTGCTCCCCTTAGCAGTGTATTTCAGTAGATCTGCCTGTTCTGCTCCCCACTCTGTCTCTGATGAATCCTCTCACCCCCACTCCTCTGCCCTGTACCCCAGTTCTTGTATGCATAAATAAATGAAATAAATCTTAAAGAAGACGACAAAATTATATGCATGAAAAGCAAGATATGTTTTTAATAAAGAAAGGTATGATGGATATTTTTTTGTTGAGGGTCAAAACAATAAAGTGTGAAAGTAGAATGACTGGTTGTTCCAGAGTGACAAAGAAGATAAAAGTTGTACTAAAAAATAAGCCAAAAAAGAAGGACAAAAGAACTGTGTGATGTCTCATAAGGGGAGCAGCAGGTGAGACAGGAGAGGTCTGTCACACCGTGTGGGTTTGGGTTGTGAAAACTCCTACTGAAATACACTGCTGAGGGGAGCAGAGGGCGAGTCAAGGGAGGTCTGCTGCACCATGTGGGTAGCTCCCTGGTGGGGGGTCAAACTCATGCTGCAGTGGCTACAGATAGCTTCATCGGTTGCATCTCAACCCCTTGAGCCACAAGGGAGGCCCCTCATAATCTCTTTTAAAAAGGTAGAGTCGGGTGGTTAGTTCAATTTTACCTTGTTACTTTTCCTAGATTTGCTTCGCTATTTCTAATGCACATACCATCTCAGTCTGAAAACAAAAAGGAGATATTAAGGAATATAAATTTCTATTAAAGAAATGAGGGACCTGACAACACCTATACTGCTGGAGCAAGGACAAGGATAATTGTATTGTTAGTGACTTTGTTTCACTTCTCAAACTCTTTTCGTTACTCATCCTTATAGTATTGTATAAATGATTAGCAAATGTATATACTAGCAGAAATGATAGAGCAAAATATATAGTTGTTTGTTTATGGGCTGCTTTCCTCCTCTGAGATATAATAAATCAACAAAGCAGAACAAAATTTGAGTTTCTGAATTCATCATTCAACACAAACAAAAATTGTTTTTCTAGTTTTCTCTTATAGTTTGCATTTATATTTAATTTTTTAATTTATAGTAATATATCTTTAGTATCTGAATTCTCATACATAAATATTTAGCTCTCAAATCTTAGATGCTTAAATGATTATTCAAAATCAATAGAGACTTTGTATTGATTTGTATTCAAGATACTAATGAATTGATGTACCTGGAAGGTAAAATACCAATGGCCAAAAAAGAAAACACAACCAAAACAGAAGCATAGAGAATTAAAATATATAGATATATAAATATGAACTAGATAATAATAGGAAATAAAACTTCCAACAGCATATATTACTATTTCTATTTTGGTCATTTCCTTACCTATGGGCGTTCCTGGATTTATGTCTTCTGTCCATCTGAATCTTTAATCAGTGCTTCTCTTGAGCCTTTTTCCAAAGTCACATATTTTGATTCATCATCCTTAAATTTAACTTTACTAATACCTAATTCCACGGTTGATTTGTTCCTCCCTTCACTTCTAAAGAAATCCTTTCCTTCTTTCAGGAAGTAGTTAAGTTGATTCCTTGCTCTTTCAGCTTCCTAGTTTAAAAAGTAACAACTTATAAGTGACACTGTCTGGTACTTATCTTTCTCTGACATTCTGAAAGGGAGGGAAAAAAGAAGGGTCAAGCAAAAGGTGGGAAGAGAGTTCAACAGATTACTGTGGGGAACTATATGTGCTGTTGTGGGGAGCACTAGGATAACAGCATGGGAAGGGCAGAATCCTGTACTTCCAAAATACAAACAACAGTGTAAACCAAGATTACATCAAAAGGGAAAAAAAAATTACACAAATTTATAAAAAGAAAAAACCACCCACTTATCAAGCATATTTCTGTGACATTTTCTTGCCAATACTACAACTTTTAGGAATCTGCATATATTTACACCCACATTACTTCTCCACTTTAATTTTACAGAGCAAGAGAAAGTTAAGTTGAACCACTGGTATAATTTATAGTATGAGATCCCATATAAAGTGCAAAGCTTCAAAGAAACCTTTTCTACTATGAAGGCTATTTTTATACTTAGAATATTCTCCTGTTTTTTTTTTTTAAGGCTCTAATTATTATAAAGGCACAATAACAGTTATAAAGAAATAATAGCATGTAACCAGGATCAATAATATCTATAATACCAAATAAGAGAAAATGTAGAAAATAATTCATTTCTTCTTGAATGAATTTTTAAATGTTACTTTTTATATTTTTTATTTAGTTAGAATACTGAGATCAACAAAAATAAAGTCCACAAATAATTTCACCACAAATAGCACACTTAGTTAATATTTTGCTATATTTTCTTAATTTCTAAATTATCTAATGCATGTATGTACTTTTAATTTTTATCAAGATTGAATCATATTATGCATAATCACATAACATACTCTTTTTCTTAAATAATATCATAGAGATGTTTCTATGATAATAGATATATATTTAAATCAGAATATCTAACAGAAATAAAATGCTTGATTTAGCAAATTTATTATCAGTGAACATTGGTTGTCTTAAAATGTTTGCTTTTAAAGAAACAACCCAAATGTCCAGAAACAGATGACTGGATCAAGAAGATGTGGTATATATACACAATGGAATACTACTCAGCAATCAAAAAAAAGACAAACTCAGCAACATGAGTTTGAAACATGAGATTGAAATACTTTTGCAGCAACATGGATGGAGCTAGAAGGGATTAGCTCAGTGAAATAAGTCAGAAGAAAAAAGAAAAATATCAGATGGTTTCTTGTTTCATCATTTTTATTTCAAATTTGAAAATTAGCTGTAAGACCTAATATCCTCATTTAACTGAGTTTTATTAGAATTCCTGCAATATTTTACTTTTACATGTCTCTTAGATTCAAAGAGATTTCTTTTCTTAGATTAAACAAGTTTACTTTTCTTCCTAGCTTACTCTTTTAGTTATGAGTGAATATTAAATTTTACTGATAAAACAGTTCTCTCTCTATATATATATAGATATATATATATGTATACCTCCTATATATATAGACCTATTCACTTACAAGGGTAAAAGCAACCATTTGAAAAGTTCTTTATGATATTTCTCTTATTTTTAGCAATTCTAAAAGACTATGCTATCCTTTACCTGCATTGCTTGCTTCACCTTTTCCTGAAGAAGCATATTCTCTCTCTCCAGATCATTTGCAACTTTCTAGGATGCAATAGAAAGGGAAAAAGAATTCACTTTGGTGTCTTTGTTTTTATTAATTTACTTCTACAATTATTACCTTTTTAAAAACAACAGATAGCCAGATGATCATGTGAGTAAACACATTCACTATACACTTCTCAGACATTAATGATAATTTTTATAGCTATAGCTTTCTTTTGATTTTCCACAGGCAAACAGACCTTAACTCTGGCAAATTATAATAACAGCAAATTAAATATTTCACTTGCCCTTTTCTCTAAGATTGAAATACTTAAATATAAATATTTCAACTTTTATGCAAAGAAGTAACTATACTTTCAGTCCAAATAAACATAGTTCTGATCTTGTGTGAATGAGTGGATCCTATCACATATGAAAGCCTCAGAATATGGGTGCTCTGGGGCTGGTGGGGTGTGGTGATGCCTATCTGAGGAGGTGTGAGCTTATTTCTGAGTAATCTGCAGTGATATAGGCCAGTTACCTCAAAAAGTAAAAAAAAATTCTTCAGACTACTGGGGAACCCTGCCACACATAACAATCACAAACTATGAACAAAATATAATTATCAATACTGGAGCACAACCAAGAGCAGGTAATTCTTGAGAGAAGGTGACAATTGGAAGAAGAAAAAAATCCTAGGTAAGATTTCTGTTTCCTGGCTTCCAGTCTCAGAGAAAGTGCTATCTGAACCACCAGTGTACCTAATTGCTGATAAAAAGCCTGCATTTTAGCCTTACAAATCATAGGACAGAGTTCAGGGAAATCTCAGTCACTGGAAAGGTTAGGGGGAAGTAATGCAGACAAGAGAGCTAGAGAGAGGGAACTCCAAACTCTTTGAATACCCTATGCCCAAGTCTCTCCCTGACCCCTAAGTCACATATGCATTGGAAAGGCTGAAAACAGCCTAGAAAGAGCTAAAAGAACTAAAACTCAATTTGAGGTGCTATCTAAATACAGAATTTTCATTTTGTACCCAATCATGGTAATTACACATTAAATAAAAATAAACAAAAATAGTACCAATCGTCAGAAGTATAACAGAATACACACACACCCCCCCCTATATTCACATACATACTAATGTCTATGCAAATAATTACTAGAGCTTACGATGCAAATGTAGGTGCACAGAGAGATCATGTATTACCTGGATTTGACTCAAATCTTTTGCTTTTGACTCTTTGGCCAGTAGCTTCTTCCTGTAATTAAAAATGTTTTAAAATATATTTTAAATTGAATGACCTCATTGCCCTCTTGAGGAGTACTGAAACTATTTTAAAGAAATAAAAATTTTTGGGGCCTCCCTGGTGGTGCAGGCGATTGAACGCTGCACTGTGAAGTTGTATGCAACCTCTGCAGCGTGGGTTCGATCCCGGCCGGCGAGAATCCCACATGGCAAAACAGACCTCTCCTGTCTTGTCTGCTGCTCCCCTCAGCAGTGTACTTCGTCAGTCTGCCTGTTCTGTTCCCCACTCTGTCTCAGGTGAATCCTCTCACCCTCCCGTGCATTTGGCCTGTACCCTGGTTATGGTATAAAAATAAATAAATCTTTAAAAAAAAGAAATTCTTATTTTTAATACCATGAAATCCATATAGGTTAAATTATAAATAACTGAATAACATTATCAAGCTAACTTCTCATTAGGATGATTTAAATAAGAAAAAATGAGATGGGGCAAGATTTTTCAAGACATTAGTCATTTTTTCTTTTCTATTCATTTATTCTTCTCTAAGTGAAACATCTAAGTCAATTGTCTGATGAATTTCTTTTTAGAATTTGTGAAAAACTATAAAGATAGAGTTCATATAAAAAAAGAATTCATAGTTTTTTTTAACTAAATATTTATATTAGGATTTAACCAAGCAAATTCAAAATGTAAAAATTACTTTGTTCTTAAATAAAATATTCACCTACTTAATAAAGTCACTTTACAATAACCCATACATATGAAGTAGATAATTGTTTTTATAAAAGAAGTACAATCAAAAAGTATAGTTAACAAAGGACAAGCCAGATTAGAAAGTTAACATAAAAATTATATGATTAGCCAAACCATCAAGAAAATAATGTAAATCATTTTCCCCAAAAATTATTTACAGATTTCAGTCTCTTTACCTAGTCCTGAATATCTTTTGACTCTTCTTCTCTAACCTGTTTTAGTTCTTTTTTTTTTTTTTGAAGATTTATTTTTATTCAAGCATAAAATAACCTGGGTACAGGCCAGATGTGCAGGAGGGTGAGAGGATTCACCAGAGACAGAGCAGGGAACAGAACAGGCAGACTGACTGAAATACACTGCTGAGGGGAGCAGCGGGTGAAACAGGAGAGGTCTGCCATGCCATTTGAGTAGCTCGCTGGCCAGCTGGGAATCAAACTCACACTGTACAGGCTGCGGACAGCTTCACAGTGCAGCACTCACCGCCTGCACCACCAGGGAGGTCCCCTGTTTTAGTTCTTTATTCTTCCCTTCTCACTCTTCTCCCATAATCATATCCTGGTACTGCTTGTATAACCATGTCTACTAATATTATGTTTTTTTAGAAATCTTTTAATATGTTATGTTCATATGACCGCAAATTGTACAAAATAAAAATATAAATTAACAAGAAAAATATTAACATGTATCGTTATTTCTTACCCTTTTGAATCCTCCGGTTTTACTCTGTCTTTTTTCCGCTCTGTTTTTATTGTTTTCTTTGTACGAGCAGATGGAGGTTTTGTTTTCTGTATAATTTTATATAAGCCAGAAACAGTTAATTAGGGTGACAATAAATTATAGAGAAATAAATGAATAATACTACTTTGCAAGTCATTGTTAAGTTTCAAGGAAAATTATCTGAATAGAAGCAATACAAATTAATGATACGACTGGAATGTTTATAATGCTTAGGTGAATGTTAGTTATATCTAAGTTAATACATGTCAAAAGAATTAAGTTCCCCTGACAAATTATAGCCTGTTCTGCTAAAACAAGGCATATGCTTTTCTGAAAATCACCACTATGATAAATTATGCAATAAAAATTACAGTATACACAGGGAAGATGGAATTAGGAGTGTAGCATGCAAAAACAATGTCAAGGATACATTAAAAAAAAAAGCTTAATAAAATCACTTGTCCAGTTTTATACAGTTAAATGACCATTATATACGATTATGATAAATATATTTATCTGAAAAAGACAGTCAGCTTTTTTGTAGTAATGAGCATTAAATATGTTGCAAGAAGGTTATCTGAAATAGTATAAAAAGTTGTAATACCAGATATGGACTGGTGTGGTAGACACATGGTAAACTGAGTAGCTTGTAGAGAAGCTATTTTCTGCCTTCACCTAGTACATTTGACTGAATAAGCAAATGAAAAATTCATGAATGCTTACATTTTTTACTATCTTGGAACAAGTTTGCATTTCAAAACAAATGCAGTAGAATTAGTCACATGTTCTGAACTATTTTTGAACTACTTTCTAGTACCAGATTATCTCACACAATGGAGAAAAATTAACAATTAGAATATTGACAGTTTTCGATAAGCTTAATAATAGAGACCTACTGAGACACTAGGTGCTTATTTCCTGTTTCAGACCACAACTCCCCACATATACCAAATTCGGGATAGTGGCAAATTTCTCACAAGTGAAATGCAAGTATAATATTTTCTTAGAAAATATGGAAAATATGCAATAATAACTGAAATTATAAGAATTGCCAATGTCCCAAAATAATTTTGTAGATATGAGTGTTGAGTAGTTTCCTATTTAGAAAAACCTAATATATATTGACAACAGAAAATATCAAAACAATGAAAAGACTGAAAAATAATGAAGAGGTTATCAATGACTATGGAACAACTTCAGGTAGATTAATAATGTTTGTAACTGGAGTTCATGATAGAGAGAAGAGGTTGGGACATAATGGCCAAATCATTTTCAATTTTGATGAAACTGAATTATATATATGCAGAAATCCACAACAATGTAAGGAAAACTACTCAGAACACATCATCATCAAATGGAGAAAAATCTTAAATGCAGACAGAGTAGAAAAGTAGATCATATACAAGAATAAGACAGCAGACTTGGTGTCAAAAACAACGCAAGCCAGACAACAAATGAGCAACATCTTTAAAGTACAGTAAGTTCGCACTTGTGTCTCTGATAGATTTTTAGAGAAATGACATACAATAAAACCAGGTCCTCAAAAAAATCAATGCATTCAATATAGGCCAGGATTGTATTTTTCTCACTTGTTACAATGAAATAATATTGACTGAATGGCATTATGTGAAGAAAAAAAAAGTCAACCTCAAATTCTCTATCCCTCTAACAAAAAGCACAAATGAAAGAACAACAGAATTGCTAATTATGTAGATAAATATAAAGATTTTTTCTTGTTACTTAAATTTCTTTGAAAGTTTACTATTTACAACAAAACTAAGAATAATGCAATGGATAGTTTATATCATGTAGTAAAATATATGAAAACAATAGCACAAAGTATGAAAAGGAACAAATGAAAGCATATTATTTCAAGATTCCTATATATAAAGTGATTTAATATCACTTGAATACAGACTGTAGTAAATTAAAGACAAACTATAAACTCTAAAGCAACCAATTGACCAGCAAATACAATGGTGATACAGATTTTGATATTTGGAAATGGGGTGCTATTGCAATGTACAATTAAAAATCTGTGAATTTCTATATGGTGTCATTTTTCTGCTTGAAGGATTTTCCTTATCATTTTTTGGTTGCACAGGTCTGGGAAGCTCTTTGATTTCTGAAAAAGAAATATTTTTTGCCTTCCTTTTTGAATGATTTTTCTTAAGTGAAGTATAGAACCAGGGCAACTCTTGGAGTTAATATAGCAGAAGCTCATGGACAGGCAACTCTTGGACTTAAAATAACAGAAATTAATGGACAGACACAAACTTATATCCTTTCAGGGAAGTTTTAGAGAGGAGTTTATGGCTATTTTCCCCATATTTTAGATACAACTCTGGAATTAGATCTAACTGCTTCCCTCCTATAATAGTCATTCTTAGGTGATTAGATCTTACTGGCTTTGTTTGGGTTAAATGTTACCAGGATTATTTGAAATGGGGGAAGATAGAGAACCCTCCTAAATGTGTAGTTTTTTTTAAATATATATCTAAAGAGATGTGAACCTATATCCCTAAATCATATACGGTGCTGTAAACCAACATTACCTTGCAAAAAATACTATTTTTAAAAAAGGAATGAATAAGCGGTATAAGGTATCAAATGAGCACCAAAGTTTCTACGGATCAAACAAGAAAATCATGTATCACAGATCATACATTGACTAATCCCATGCGAAAAATCACTGCTCTCTAGAGCAGAGCATTGTGGGTTAGAGAACACATCTAAAGAAACAACACAAGAAAGCAAAATCAGAAACTGTTACAACTAAAATATATATATACACATTGAGAACACATTTTCTTGCCCCCCCAAAAAATAAAGTACTAAAGATAAAAAGGAAACAAAATTTATGGAATAAATGAAAATACACATTAGTGTGACATAAATACATCTAAGTGCACCAGTAATTAAAATAAACGAAAATAGAATAAACAAGCCAGTTAATAGAGACTGACTTATTAGGAATAATGCAAATATAGACAGTTTGGTACAGGTACATGTAAGTGCATGAAATTATAGAAAGTAAAGTGATGGAAAAAGACATCTGAAACAATTATAAATCTGAAGAAAGCTAGTATAGCTATATTAATATCAGATTTAAAAACACTGCAACATTTTCAAGACATGTAAGAAGTTTCATAGTTTTTGAATGTGGATATAATGATGCATGATTAAAGTGTTGGAAAATATTTATAGTTGGCCAGAATACTCAATTATTTTTTTATTTATATGTCATATTATTAGAAATAGGAAATGCAAAATTATTTCAACAGCTAAAGACCAAATTACAACAGAAGACTGGGTAGGCTCAGAATTTTGAGACATTCCAGTAAGAATTTTCTGCAAAGTGTATCCTTTCTGTGGCAGGGCAACATTTTCTTTAAGAAGTTTACTGGATAGACATCATTTCCACCATCACCTATATATATACAATTTGTATATAAGTTCACTCCCTGTTGTAATTGTTCATGTATAAAATCTATCAAATTGTATTTTTGCCAAGATTTCTTGGGGCACACATTAATGAGCATGGTGGCTTTTCCACAGTGAGATGACCACTGCTATCAAAAGCTGCTAGATTTGTAAATACTTGATCAAATACATCATGAAAACTGGTAGTTTCCAAAACTCAGTCCATGGAAAATGAAACTGAATCTGAAAAAATAATAGTCAAATTTATCCTTATTCTTTCTTATAAAACTTAAAATTTCCACCATCCCTTGAGCGAAAGGAATTATCACTGGTCTTTTCATTTTCACTTTTACCTTCATTGCCTAAATACTTAAAGACTCTGCCAATAAATTCTGTCCAAAATCCTTTTTTGGTTAAGAATCTTGTAGTTCTGCTCTTATTTTTTACATCTGTGCAGGATCACTGCCTCTCTAGCCGATTTAGTAGCAAGTTTCCTGATATTCGACTGCTTCCTCCTCCAGTAAGGAAGAAATTTCCGATAAGCAACTTTAATAGAGTCAAGAGTATTTTACATCATCTCCTGTTTGTCTTATACTGAAATACACATCTCATTTTTATATGGTGAATAAAAATACCAAACCAAAACATCTGAGTGATCCATTTGGCTCTGTTGTTGGTAGTTTGAAATTTGTAAGCTACATTTAAAAAATGGCAAAAAAAAAAAAAAAAAATGGCAAAGGAGAATGAAAAAAAGGAAACAATTTTGTTCTTAGTATTTCTATTCACTCTTCTTAGTGACATGAAACATGCAAATACCAGTTTAAAATATATCTGAAAAACCCTAATATACTGATCTTTCAATAAAATTAAATATTTGTTCTAGAAATGTATCAGGATGTTTAAAGCTTAAATTTGTCTTTCATAGCATCCATTTGGTTTCAATAGTTTATATGTAATTTAGAATACAGGATTGTTATTTTTTTAAAGCACAGCTGTCCAGTTATTAATACTGAAAATATATAATAAACTTTTTATCATTGATTCCTATCCTAATATTAGAAACCTTCAATGAATAGTATACTATTTTTGGACAAAATTTAACTAACCTCTGCATTCTTCAGTTTTTGCAGTTCATTTTCCAATAGCACTTTTTCCTCTGATAACATCTGGAAATCACTTTCCATCTTTTTGCATTTCTAAAATCAAATAATATAATTTTATAATAAGGAAAAGCAAAAATCTCAATATAGAAAAATCATTTAGTACTTATTTCTTAAAGTAAGAAAGTTTTCCTTCACTAATGGAATTAATGAACCACTGGCATGTATCTGTATAGTGAAGCTATAATTGAAGCTGAAAGAAGCAAAGGAACTAGAGGTGACAAAACATGGCAGGTTAGAATTATGGAATATTCTGCTCAGTATTTCAGAAGTGTTTCTAAGTAACAGTAAGCTCTAATAAAAACAAAAGAACAGACAAAGCTTCCCAGCTCATGCATGCATAGAAATCTCTTGAATAAACTGAGGGTCTCCCCTGGTGGTACAGTGGTTGAGCACTGGGCTGCGAGGCTGCCCGCAGCCTCTGCAGCGCCGGTTGGTTCCCCGGCCGCCAGCAAGTGTCCCACAAAAATAAACAAATAAATAAATAAATAAACAAACTGAGTGTACACTGGATCTTTAAGATTATGTAAACTGACAATGTCTAGAATCTATTAATTGTACACCAAGTACAGTTTCAAACCCAGAGTGCTTTACTTACAGTTTGTAACAAATCTTGCTCATTTACAGCTCTGAAAAACAAAACAAATTTATCTATAATGTATTATATTTTTACAATTTATATTTTAAATATTGTAACATATTTATACATTTTCTTTGTAAAATAATTTTTTAAAGATTTATTTATTTATGCATACAAGAGCTGGGGTACAGGTCAGAGGTGTGGGGCGTGAAAGGATTCACCAGAGACAGAGTGGGAAACAGAACAGGCAGAATGATTGAAATACACTGCTGAGGGGAGCAGGGGGCGAGACAGGAGAGGTCTGCTGTGCCATTTGGGCTGCTCCCTGGCCGTTCAGGGATCGAACTCATGCTGCAGAGGCTGCGGATTGCTTCATAGTGCAGTGCTTAACCACTTGTGCCACCAGGGAGGCCCTTGTAAAATAATTTAATACAAATGAGTTCAGGTATACTTTGACAACTATTTCAAATATCCAATGCTTTCCCTAGAGATAATAAGTTACAATATATTTTGTTCTCTGCATTTATATAGTAATGCATGTATCTATTCAATTCTATAATTTTTGTGATGGGTTCGATGTCTAGTTTGCTGTGCTTTTCATGTAAATGACATCATTGTATATATTGTACTCAACTTAGACTTTCTGAGATCTACTTGTATTGGAAAACACAGATCTCTCTCACTCGTAAATATCACTTCTTATTCCACAACAGGATTAAGCAAACTTTTTCTGTCAGAGCCATAGAATAAATATCTTAGACTTTACAAACCAAATTATTGCTGTCACTATGACCCAACTCTGCAAAAGCTGCTATAGATGAAAGGTAAATGAATGGGTGTGGCTATGTACCAATAAAACCACCTAGAGAAACAAGCTGCAGGGCCTACACCCCAGCTCTTGTATGCATTAATAAATAAATCTTTTTTTAATTTTATATATTTTTTACATCGTTTTTCATTTTTTGTACAATGTATGTATGCAGTTTCATCTTGACTATAGTGCCTGTAAAATTCCCACCACCCTTGTTTTGATTCTACTCCCTTCTCCCCACAGCCGGTAGTGTCTCTCAACATGGATGGAGCTGGAAGGGATCATGCTCAGTGAAATAAAATAAATCTTTAAAAGAAAAAAACAAAAAGAAAAGGTGATTATTATTTAAGAGTGATCAGAAAAGTCATGGCACTGCCCTAGTTTTGGGGGAAGGAGGTGTTAACCTCAATTAGCATATACAAAAGGTCCAAAAAATATCACTGTGATTTCATTCTGCAGGACATGCCTTTTCAATGTACCAGTTATATATCCTTAGTCATCTCAAAGAATTGTAGGTCATCTACTGTTACTCTCAAGATACTTACTGACATGCAAATAAATGTACAGTGATTGTTCTCACCAGACAATTGTACAAATTTTACTTTGGGCATGAGGTTATGTACAGGAAATCCTCTCCTTTATAGTAATCCTAGGACTTCCACTGATTTTTGTTATGTCCAGGGATTCAAAAACCATTTATAACAAGTACCAGTAGCTCAATGTGAGAAGCGAGAATAAATAATACTACAGATGTCTACTTTAATATCCTAGCCCAAAGCAAAGAACATTGATGGAAACAGTTTCCTACTTTAAGAATGTCCCTAGAACATGTTAAAGCTTTCATCTCAAAGCTGTAAAAGTTCTTACCCTACCCTTCTAATAGAGAGGATTCTAATGAGAAAGAAGGGGATAAAAGTAAAATAGGGCTTAATTCAATTACATACCAAGTATGTGACTTTCAATTAATGTAAGGCTATAAGCCTTTTAGTTCCATTTTTAGCAATGACCAGGAAAACTTTTCTTTACATTTGATATGTTACAGTCTTTTATTAAATATGGATGATTGGATTTGATAATTATAAACTCTGATAATGTCAAGTTTTAATGTTGAATCTAAACAAAATTCTTGGAAAATACTGTGATGCAAACTTTTCTGAATGTTTTACTTTAATTCAAAATGTTTACTCAAAAAGAATTTGAGTTTATAATAAATTGTAACTAAGTGAAAAGTATGCGCACAAACTACATTTTATATGACTGCAATTTTTTTATTTTATAAAAATGTGGTTAATATACATAACAAATGTATCATCTTAATCATTTTAAGTATACAGCCATTATTACTAGGTATATTCACTTTGTTGTACAACTACTATCTATCTTCACCTTGAGAAACTGAAACCCTACACTACGTAAAGAACAGCTCCATGATTCTCATTCCTTTCAGTCCCTGGCAATGACCATTTTACTTTCTGTCTCGATGAATTTGATTATGCTAGGTAACTCATATAAGTGAAATCATATGCTTCTGTCCTTTTGTGACTGACTTATACCACAATGAGCTGATCTTTGCACAAGTTCCTCAGGTTCATTTATATTATCAGATGTCAGTATCTCCTTCCTTCTTAAGATTGATACACTGCAGGAATATATCACATTTTCTTTATTCATCTATCTTTATTGCTTCTACCTCTTGGCTATTGTGAATAAGCACACAGTAAACACAGGTGTACAAGTAAGTATCTCTTTGGGGACCCTAAGTTCAATTTTGGGGGGAGGTAAAATTCCCCCAATTCCAGAAATGGAATTGCTAGGTCATACGGTAATTTTGTTTTTAATTTTTAAAGGAATTGACATATTGTTTTCCATTATATACTATATGATTATAATTTTGAAACTTAAAATTATATATCATAAATATTGATGTAAAAACACTAAATTTTTAAAACAGTGATACTGGTTTTTTGTTTCCAACTTTTCTAAAATAGATAGAAACTCACCCTTATAATTAGGAAAAGAAATTATTCTAAAAGCTTACCTCTCCAATGTATGTGACTGTTTTTCAAATATTTCCAACATGGTATTAAACTGACTAGTCACTGAACGAACAGTTCCTATTATTAAAAAAAAAATGTAAAGATATTACAAATGGCTGATGTTATACTTCTATGCTCATATAATTAACTGCTATATGTTTGAGAATTATACAAGCATAAAGTGGAGACAGCAAAGTGGCTGCACCCACATTTCCACCAACAGCTTATGAATATTCCTTGTTCTCCACACCTTTGCCAATACTTTTGTTTCTAGTTTTTTCAAAAGTATAAATGTGCAACATATAGCAAAGGAAACAAATAAATCAACTACAATATGGAGGTCTCCCCAGTGGTGCAGCAGGTTGAGCGCAGCGCTGTGAAGCCGTCCACAGCCTCTGTAGTGCCGGTTTGATTCCCGGCCGGCCAAGGAGAATCCCACAAGGCACGGCAGACCTCTCCTGTCGCTCCTGCTGCTTCCCTCAGCAGTGTATTTCGGTCCATCTGCCTGTTCTGCTCCCAGCTCTGTCTTTGGTGAATCCTCTCACCATCCCATGCCTCTGGCCTGTACCCCAGCTCTCGTATAAAAATAAATCTTTAAAAAAAAAATCAACTACATATAAAAGAAGCCAAATAAAGCACAAATAATTGACTGAGAGGCTTAATTCTCATTAAAGGCTCAAAGGGTATATTGAGAGAAGCTAGTCTTAGAATTCAGAATTTCCTATAAGCAAGAGAGAACAATTTAAAATCCTGCATAAAAAAATGATAAGGTACAATATACAATATTTTAAGATTAATATAATAGCACAGAAAGTGACTTAAAACTCTGACCTGGACATGCTAAAGGATTACAAAGAATATCAGCTGGTATTCCTGTCACAATTTGAAAATACAGTTCTCAGGAGAGAGAAAAGTCCCTGATATGGACTAAATACTATGTTCACCTAAAATTTATATGCTGAAATCTTTCTATCTAATATGATATTTTAAGATGGGGGTCTCTGAAAGGCAATTAGATCATGAAGGAGTCACAAGAGAGTTTCTTTCCTTTCTTCCTGTTCTTTGTCACTTGAGGACAAAAGAAGGCATCATCTGCAAACCAGGAAGAATGAAGAAGGCTCACCAGAACTCAACTATGTTGGAATCCTAATCTCATACTCCCAAAGTCCAGAACTATGAAAAATAAATTTCTATTGGCTTAGCAAACAGTCTACAATAACATGTGATAGCAGTTGAGCTGACTGAGGCCCCTGCAATATTACAGTAGTACATTCATCACAATGAGAAATCTTTTATTATAAGTGCTAGCACAGTATTCAAAAACAAATCTGTTTTTGGCAAATTGTATGGCTGAGAATTCAATACTTGCTTGATAGCCAGCTCAACTGAACAACTCCAAACTCAAGGGAACTGTGATTTTACTTCAATAATTACTTTAGAGAAAATTACATAACTTAATGACATCAACAGAAGTTGTAACACAATGACACTTAAATGAATGGAAACTTACGTGGTTTGGTTTCAGGAATATCTATGTTTACTTTACTTGCATGGGTCTTTATGAATTCTGGAATAAAAGTGAATTTATTGCAAGCTTCAATTATCAATTATATGTATTAATTGAGTTTAAATCTCACATTTTAATACTTCATTCAAAGAAACTCTAAGAAAAATCAAGAAAATTAAGAAAAAATTCAAATCTGCATGTTTTCTATTCTTACTTGTACTTCAGTATTGGCACATATAATGCATCTAAGACACAGCACCTTCCCTTTCCTATACCCAGTCCCCAAATCTAGCTTGTACAATGTGGCCAGTACAATCTCTTTTAAATTAATTCCAACAATATAATTTTCCTACCAAGAAAAAATCTTCAGTGATTCCCTTATACATATATGTATATATGTAAATTCCTTTGAACAACATCTAATTCCTTTAACTAGGTCTCTCCTACCTTTGTCCCTAGCTATTACTCCACATTATAATCCATTCCATTAGTAATTCCCTACTCATGCTGTTTGTTCATACTTATTGTCTTCTTAAATATCCCTTTCATAAATATCCCCCTTCTTCACTTATCTAAATCCTGTTCATCCTTTAAGGTTGCATAAATCTTTATTCAAATTGGATGAACAAATTGGCTCCTTTCTGTAGTCTCATTGCAAATTTCACATACATTTATCATGAATTATACTATATTAAAACAATACATAGTAAATCTGTGTCCTTAATAAATTGTGGATTTATGAGGGTAACCACCATGTTTTATTCATTATCTATACTCCTGGAATCTGGAACATAAAAAAGAACTTTCACTGAAAATATGAAACTCACTAGTGAATATCTTTTATAAATTTATGATTATATAATTTGATGGCTATGCATTTTAAAATTATAAGTCTCAAAATGATAATATCTTTAGGAAACTCTATGAAAAGCTAGGGATTTATAAAATATTATCACCTTCAACACTTTGCAGTACATTTTCATAACTTTGTGTCATTTCTGGTGGCTTTTCACTATCCGTGCTAAAATTTCAAAAAAGAAAACATTTATTATCAAAAAAATAGGTTCAGCTTACAATTAAATAAGAACTAGAATGTATACCCTAGACATAATCAGTTTGTAGAATAAAATTTAACATATTCTTTAAACTTTATTAACAGACACTAAGGGAAATTAATCAGTAGCAAGCAAATAAGTAAGAGCCAAACTATGTAATTCTATGTATTCCATGAATATAATTAGATATAGCAAAAAATAACATTAATAACAAAAATAGCAAAAGTAAGTTGGATAGAAGCATAAGATTTCTTTTAACCAATATATTATTTATGGTGTAATTATTAAAAGCACAAGTTCTTGGGCCTCCCTGGTGGCACAAGGGGTTAAGACGTAACCTATGAAGCCATCCGCAGTCACTGCAGCATGAGTTCGATCCCCAGCCAGGGAGTGGCCCACATGGCACAGCAGACCTCTCCTATCTCACCCACTGCTCCACTCAGCAGTGTATTTCCTTCGACCTGCCTGTTCTGTTCCCCGCTCTGTCGCTGGTGGATTCTCTCTCCCCCCACCCCTGCACCTCTGGCCTATACCCTGGTTCTTGTATACATGAATAAATAAATCTTTAAAAAAAAACAGCATCTCCTAATGGTGCAGCGGATTGAGCGCCACACTGTGGAGTTGTCCAGAGCCTCTGCAGTGCGGATTCGATTCTTGGCTGGCCAGGAAGAAACCCACAGGGTGGGGCAGACCTCTCCTGCCTCGCCCACTGCTCCCCTCAGCAGTTTGTTTGGTCCATCTGCCTGTTCTGCTCCCTGATCTGGCTCTGGTGAATTCTCTCACCCTCCTGTGCCTCGGACCTTTACCCCAGTTCTTAATAATTAAATAAATCTGTTAAAAAAATCTTAAAAAAAAAATAAAACACAATTTCCTGAATAAGATTCCATGGCTCAAAACCTTTTTTTAGCCACTTATTAATTATATGACCTTCAGTAAATTACTGAGCCATTCAGAGCTTCATTTTCTTCATGTATTAAAGTTGGGGTATTATACCATCTATCTCATAAAGTAGCTATAAGTACAAAATGATAAATGCAAAGTTAAAAGGAAACACCTAGCACACACTAGATACTTAAATTTTAAGTACTACTAAATAGTTTGAAACTAACTTTATGCTTCTCAAAATAAAACTCAAGTGAGTATATCTGAATCTCTGAACCAAGGTCTAGTTATGTAGCCCCCAATGGATCCAACACAAGTACCACTACTTTCATTCCTTTATGTATAGTCATCAGGTGTTCATAAAGTTATATATATTTACTGTTATTAATATGCAATATTAAATAAATGTAATGTGACAGGGAATACACCGATGCATGTAACTTGTTTTGATCTTGAGGAAGTAACAGTTTTAGAGCGAACACTTACACATGATTGATTAAATTAATAATTTAGTGATAATACCTTGAAATAATGATGTATCACTAATTTATAACAAAAAATCATTAGGGATGTGATTTGATGTCAAAGAATAGAGATAAGAAAGATGTAACAAAAGAAGAGATCATTGTCAGACAGGATTTCTCAACCATAGTACTACAGACACTGGAGGAAAAAAGTCTCTTCAACACAGTGTTGGGAAAACTGGACAGAATAAAAGTAGACCACTATCACACCACACACACACATACATTAATTCAAAATGCATTAAATGTGATGTAAGACCTCACACCTTAATATTCATAGAAGAAAATATTGGCAAAACATTCCAAGCATTGGCTTCATAGATGTCTTAGAAGACTTGACACCAAAAGCAAGGGAAACAAAAGCCAAGATAAACAAATGGAACTAAATCAAATGAAAAAGAAAGCAACTATGTGCACAGCAAAAGAAACTATCATCAAAACAAAAAGACATCCTATGAATAAGAGAAAATATATGTATGTCATGCATCTAACAAAGGGCTAATACTCAAGATCCACAAAGAAGTCATACAACTCAACAAAAAGAAAGCAAACAATCCAATCAAAATGGGTAGAAGAACTAAAGAGAAATGCAAATGAATACCACAAGGAGGTACCACCTCACATCTATTGGATGGCCCATATCAAAATGACTAGAAACAGGGCTCTGCCCACAAGATGGTAGAATAGAGAAGCTGCAATTATCCTCTCTCTTAAAAACAACTAGGAAAAAAACACTGATATGGTCATAGAAAAGTCCAGATGCTTTGAACCAGCGATACCTCTCCAGAACATCCCTAGGGAGCTCAAAAACTAAGGTTGGTGGTCACTGAAGGAAGAGAATAGGAGGTGTCTAGGGGCACCCTGTCTGGGCTCTGGGTTGATTTCCCAGGACACAATGAGGGAAACCCAGGACATTGCAAAATACCTCAGTGGAATTTTCCTGACACAAGAGTGGGCCTGGACCCAACCCAGGCAGCAGGAGTTCTTTAGACTCTGATCCAGGAAATTGGGAATGCCTCAATTGGGGTGGTACACCCACTGAAAGCTCTCTCCTCTCACCCTCCCAGAAGAGATCAAAGAAAAGCCAGACATGTGGCTAGTGACTGTTGTAGGTGACAGTAACATTTCAAACTACTGAAATTTCAATTAGGAGCTGACTAGACCTTCTGATGTGATTTCAAACCTCTATGCACATTTTAATATCTGAACCATTATCCTACATTATTATTAGTCATATGCCCACTATTACTGGTTTTAGTTCTGTTAAGTCATATTTTACTTACTTGGTTTTATAAAACAAGGATTTCCAGGAGCTCCCAGACCCTTGTTTAATGTGATTTTTCAGTTCTTCAAGTTTTTGCACTTGCTTTACCATTTGAAAAATGTTTAAAGTGATTGTATCATCAGATGCTGGTAATGCTGTTTCTAAAAAGCTTTGATCTTTACTTATCTAAAATAATAAAATTAACCAGTTACTTAGGAAATATTGTTCCTATACCTTACAGAAACTTTATGATTTCATTTCTCATATTTAAATACTTTCATATTATTATTTATCCTATAATCAAATATTAATATTTGTACAAACATATATAAATAATTAACTAGCAACAAAATTATAGCTCGGTGTTAATTTTCACAAACAGAACTGAAATCTAATCTTCTGTTTATTTTTTTAATATATAAGAATTTTAAGCAAAGTTCAGTAACAACTGTAGCAGACCAGTGAAGCACAATTTAAAATATCTAAAAGAGAATTCCAAAGTAATTGTTCCCCCAAAATTCTTCCTATGGAAAGATAGCAAATTGGCCTCAACAAGTTAGTATCTGGGGTCTATGGAGCTGGCATTCCTCAGGTTGCATGGGGAAGACTGAGACATTTGGGGGCCTCAAGTTCTCTGGAATAAATCAAGCGACTGTGTAATGAGCAGTCAAGAGAATCAGTTAGATCCATTGAATAAAACCACAATTGATATTGTAGAAAATCAGCCTACTTTGAAAAAGTTTAGCAAATATGAGTGCGAAAAAAAGTGAAAGAAATTTAGAAACAGTCAATATGTGGACACACAAACAGGCAGAATAGTTAACTGAGGTCAGGAAGTGTTGACAAGAAAAATAAACCAATGCAGAAACCTCTAATTCTGATGGAAGGAAAATCTGGGGTGGGGTGAAGTAGTGACAGCATAATCTAGGACCTAGCAAAGAGAAATTCTAGCACTAAAAATGTATGAAAAATGTATGACAGAGACTTCATTTTAGAAATATCAACTTGGAATAGGATTAGAATACAGTAATATAATGGAAGTCAGATTGGAGGTACAGTACAGGTGGAAAGGAAGCAGGAGATATATGGAAACTCTATGGACAAAATAAAGATTCCAAAGAAGAGACAGTCACTCAAAAGGAGTCTAAAAAGTGAAGTAGCAATCAGCTACAGTTGTGTATTGCCTCCCATTTAAAAACACATTCTTCACTATTCTCATAATAGAAGATTTCTGTATTGACCAGTATAATGGCATTAACCTTTGTCAGCAGAGGACCCTACACTCTAGAGGAGGAAGAAGCTTGTCTTCCTATTTCTGTCATATCTCTTTTGCTTAATCATAGGGAAGGGCGCATTATACCTAGTAGTGCTCATCTCTAGCAAGTTTTATGTTTCATTTTTAAAAAAATTTTTTATTCATGCATACAAGAGCTGGGGTACAGGCCAGAGATGTGGGGTGGTGACAGGATTCACCAGAGACAGAGCGGGGAACAGAACAGGCAGATTGACTGAAATACACTGCTGAGGGGAGCAGCAGGCGAGACAGGAGAGGTCTGCTGCACCATGTGGGTAGCTCCCTGGACAGCTGGGAATTGAACTCGTGCTGCAGAGCCTGCGGATTGCTTCATAGTGCGTTGCTCAACCCCTTGCGCCACCAGGGAGGCCCCACCAGCAAGTTTTAATAGTAACATTCCCATGGGTGACTTCCTTGAAAAAGTCCTGAGAGAGCACATCCCCATGGGCAGTGCCAATGACAAAACAAAATTATTCCAAGATTCTTCCAAAATGATTAATGTGCATAGATCATATATAATAATCCTCTAAGGAAAACTGTTGAAGTGGCAGATTGCTAAACAACACACAAAAATTATTCAGTACATAATTCAGAAGCTCTGATTTGGAGTTTGAAAAGGTACATATTTGTAACTGATACCTTAGGTGATATTTAAATATGACCCATCAATGCAAGACTGAGATGGTGACAGAGGAAAATAAATGAACTGATGAGCTTCATAAAGTCAAAGAGTGACCAGAGCACTGTTTAAAGAATGTAGTTCAAGAATGAGTTGACTGGGGCCTCCCCGGTGGTGCAGTGGTTGAGCGCTGGGTTGTGAAGCTGCCCACAGCCTCTGCAGCGCCGGTTCGATCCCCAGCCGTTGGGCGAGGGTCCCACATGGCGCGCAGACCTCTCCTGCCACCTGATGCTCCCCTCAGCAGTGTACTTCGTCAGTCTGCCTGCTCTGCTCTCCCCTCTGGCTCTGGTGAATTCTCTCACCCTCCTGCGCTTCTGACTGTACCCAGTGTTTGTATAAACAAATAAATAAATCTTAAAAAAAGAAAAGAATGAGTTCACTGAATCAGTGACTTATAAAATAATCTGGTTAATGGTAAGGTTCAGTATGAAATTGGATGTGAAGGCAAGAGGTAAAGGACGCTTAACTAGATCTTCAAAGATGATGAAGTCAAGAAACTGAGAAACTGGCATGTGGGTAGGTCTCACTTATTGACAAAACTAAAAATAAAGTGAGTCAAATCCATAATATAATCTGAAAAGAGTTTGGGAGACAAAAGTAAGAAAGTAGAAAATAAGCTGGATTGCCCAAGTTTCAAAGAAGTCAATATTTTTCAAGAAGGTGCGGGAATAGTGGACTTCATTCTGATACTGTATCTCTGAAGAGGTAATGACCAATCTACCACAGTCAAAGAAGAACCCCTAATATGCTTCCAATGTCAGTCATGCCTATGCAAAAGCAAAGCCCATACAGGCCATGATAGTTTTCGAATCAGGGGCCAGAGGAGATATAAACAGGTGCTAGGCGACAGTTACAAATTCTATCTTTACTCTTTAATTTTATACCCCAAATGAATGGGCCTCTTTTACTTAAGTACCTGAGTTTCAGGAATGTTTAATTGGGCTAAACTGTAGGCATAGCCAAGGGAAATATAGAATCATTACACAAATCACTGAAACTACCCTGGGAATCATTCTGCTATGTTTACAGCATTCACAGTATGGTTTCTAAAATAGAATCATAATCCCCCTAAGAGAGAGAGATGACTACTCAAGCTGGAGGTAAAGTACCTGAAAATCAAAAGCATAAAATATGATCACTGAAATAATTAAATTGAAAGAAAACTAATATATAATTTCATGATTAAGTTTATATCATATTATACATGATATTTTAAATTTAGGGGAAAATTTTTAGGTGGTAAGTTTTTCTTGCTACTTGCTCTTTTACATAAATTAAGGAAAGACTAATAATCAAATTTCTATTATTCACTTTTAGAATACACACAGAGTATAAAAAATCACTATTTAATGGTTATTAAAAAATGTAAACTTGTACCTCCAATTAGTTTTCAAATGAGACAAAATATTCACTTAATTAGCAATTTTAAAATGTTATACTTACCTCTTCCATCTGATTGACCTGATGTTGAAACCACTGAAAAAGAAAATAGAAAACAAGTAGTTATTGGTAAGTTGAATTTTTGCACTGAAATAAGTCTGTGTGTGTGTGTGTGTGTGTGTGTGTATCTTCATTTATCAAATATTAGTCTTGAACCAAACGTCATTTATCATCTGTTTCAGAATGGGACTATAGCAGCATACATTGGAACATAAAATTTTTAAATCAGCAAGTTTGGGTATTTTTTTTACTTCTTCAACATTTAAAGCCTCTGCTTCATTTACACACACACACACACACACACACACACACACACCTGTAATAAATTTTACTTAAGCTTAAGCTGTAATATATGAAACATACCTTAAAAAGAGATTCCAAAATCTGAAAAATAAATTTTAATTAAAACATGTAAACATAATGTTCTTCACAATGCATATGATAAAATATTTAATTCATTTCTTGCAACTTTCAATCACAAAAATATACAAATTACTAAAAAAACTATAAATCTATAATCTAAAATCTCACTATTTTTATCTTTACAAATAGAGTTTTTAGTACATTTATATAGTTCCTTAGTTCTAGGGAAAAAAATAATTTTCCATCCTTATAGATGTATACCCCCAAATAATTCACATCTATAATTTATTTCTTAATATTGGCAAAGAATAAAATTTAAATTCCTCTCAGAAGTGCAGTATATCTATATTGTCATGTAACAGCAAATACAATAATTAAAAGCATAGTCTTACCAATATTATGTCTTCAATAAAAGTTTGTTCTGCTAAATGTGCTAAAAATAAAGATATAAAATACTACTACTTGATATTTTTAATGGAAAATACAAAAAATTGGTTTGGGAAACAGTGAGAGAAATGGAACATACAAAACCAATCAAAAGTCCAAGATATCTAGGAAATAGAATGCTGAAATGGTTATACACACACACACACACACACAGCCATTCAATAATATCTGGACAAAAATTTTGAATTACATTTAAATATCAAAAGGAAAATATTACTGCAAATATTCAGGCTGAAAAAAAAAAGTTAACTGAAAACTCAAACTAGTCTAAAATTCCTCTTCTGCAACACCAAATCTAGATCAGTAGTTCAAAAAGTGTGGTCCAGCAACCAATAGCATTAGCAATGCTTAAGCAACCGTATTTTTTGTTTTAAATTTTAAAAATTCCCTTTTCACCACCATCCTATATTATCCCCTTGTCTCTCTCCCTTCCACTTAATCTGAGTACGATGATATTTATCGCTATCCACTGGTTTTTGTTAAGTGTTTATGGACACCTTATCAAATTGTCTGCTCTGTAAATAACCAGTATTTGTTATCATTCTGACTTGCTTTACTACGCATAATCGTTTCAAAATCCCTCCTCTCCGTTGGAATTGGCTGCATGTCATTCTTTTTTATGTCTATATGGTATTCAATACTGTTGATGTACCACATCTTCTTGATCCAATCTCCCATCAATGGATATTTAGGGTGCTTTCCTGTCTTACTTATTGTAAATACTGCTGCTATTAATTTTGTGGAACATATGGGTTTTGTGTTGATGGTTTCATATTCTTTGGATAGATATCCAAGAGTGGGGTTGCTGGGTAGTATGATACTTCCATTTTTAGATTTTTAAGGTAAATCCAGATTGCCTTCCATAATAGTTGCACCATTTTGTATTCCTAGCTACAAGGATGCAATCAGGTTCCTTTATTCCCACATCCTCTCCAATATCTGTTGTCAGAGGTCTTTTTAATATGTGCCATTATAGTGGGCATGAAATGGCATCTCATTTTGGTTTTAACCTGCACCTCTCTTATTGGAAGTCATGATAACTTTTTTTTTTCATGTATACTTGCTTTCTGGATATTTTTTTTTTAAAGATTTAGTTATTTATACATACAAGAACTGGGGTACAGGCCAGAGGTGTGGGGGGTGAGAGGATTCACCAGAGACAGAGTGGAGAACAGAACGGGCAGATTGACTGAAATACACTGCTGAGGGGAGCAGTGGGCAAGTCAGGAGAGTTCTGCTGCACCATGTGGGTAGCTCCCTGGCTGGGGATCAAACTCATGCTGCAGTGGCTGCAGATAGCTTCATAGGTTGCATCTTATCCGCTGCACCACCAGGGAGGCCCGCTTTCTGGATATTTTCTTTAGTGAATTGTTTGTTCATATCTGCTGCCCATTTATAGATTAGGTTGCTAAAATAATGTATTTATTAGTAATGCAAATTTTGGGCCATCCCACTCTACTGAAAAACCCTGGAAGTGTATATATTCAGAGCAAACACTAGAAAATATATTCTCATTAGAGATTACAGATAATTTGTTTTTTTCTGTATTTTCCTCACTTTATAAAATGTTCCACGATAATACTGTTTTCAATTAGATAAAACACAAAAAATATTAATTCTAAAACTCAAAATAAGGTGTATTACCAATAGGATATACTACATATTATTCAATTTTCAAAAATAATATAGACATACAGAAAGGCAGGAAGTTAAACAAAAATATGTTAACAATAGTTGCTTATCTTGAGGAAATAGAATTTTGATGACTTTCATTTTTTTGGAATGTCTTAATTTTTTAAATCTTCGTTAATTATGATACTTCATTTTTGTAATATAAACTTACTTAGAAAATACAATAAAATATAAATACTCCATATGAAAATACTAATGACTCAATCACTGCTTTATTTAGAGGAAAATTTGCCTTTGATGTAAATGTCTATGGTAAGAATAAAGAAAAATCCAATGTCCTTTATAACTTCTTAAGACATTGTATTCAGACTAGTATTACCAATGAAATTATTACATTCAAGTTCAAATATCCAATACATCTTTAAAAATTTTGTTAATAATTAATTTCAGGGCTTCCCCTGGTAGCTCAGTGTTTGAGCGCTGGGCTGCGAGGCTGCCCGCAGCCTCTGCAGCGCTGGTTCGTTCCCCCGCCGCCGGCAAGGGTCCCACAAAAAAAAAAAATTAATTTCAATTATTAATAGGAACTAGAATATAGTTAACACAGTTGTTTGCTGTTATTATTACTGCTTGCTAATAATTAAAATTATTAAAATACTAAGTAATATTTTAGAATTGGCCACTTATACAAAATACATACATTTTGTTTTTCCTTAGTTGCTGTTTCTAACTGAGTTAGAAATTGTGAACAACATTCCAAGAATGCACGCAGATTCTTCCCAACCTTTTCAAAAGAGTAACAAACCAGAAAATTACTTTTATTTCAGAACCCATCTGCATATCCATCTGTATTTAAACTCTAAACACGTAAGACATTAAGTGTTTAAACTCTAAACATGTGAGACAAGAAGACATGCTCCAAATGCTATACTAGCAGATTCTCCCAGAAAGTATGGAAGAAAGTATATTCTGGGTCGTGACTTTCATTCATGCTGATTTCCTAGCTATGTTTCCCTCCATTATCCTCTACAATTTACAGGTGGCCATAACAGGTAACCCTTGTATATACCTTACAAATATATATCCTTGTGTTAGAAAATGAATGCTAATTATGGCAACTTATTATAAGTTTACCTGCCAAGAGTTAATGATTTTTCACTATCACTTATGGACCATAGAAAACTTTGAAGAAAAGAAAAAGTAATGGATTAAAATGTCACAATGACTGAATTCCTTTTTTTTTTAAGGTAATTTTTTTTAAAGATTTATTTATTTATACAAGAATCGGGGTACAGGCCAGATGTGCAGGAGGGTGACAGGATTTACCAGAGACAGAGTGGGGAACAGAACAGGCAGACTGACGAAATACACTGCTGAGGAGAGCAGCGGGCAAGAAAGGGTAGGTCTGCTGTACCATGTGGATTTCTCCCCTGCCGGCAGGGATCGAACCCATTCTGCAGAGGCTGTGGACAGCCTCACAGTGCGGCGCTCAACTGCCTGCACCACCAGGGAGGCTCTGAATTTCCTCTTATAAAGCAGTGATTTGTAGCTCAGAGAACTGACCCATGATAAACAAATTTCAGATGCCTGTGTACAGTTAGGATTGTCAAAGAATGTGCTGCATGAGGAATAAGTTTCCTCTACAAACACTGAAACATATTCACATTTGCTATGGTAGAGACCTGTGATCACACGGGGGAGAGGGGGAATAACTGAGACAGTCATTCAGGGAAGCAGGAAAATGACTGAACTAGAGTTTCTAATCACTACAAGGTGGGACCATTAGCATACTTGGGGATTTCCTTCCACACACAGTCAGGTGCCACCAATATAAAAAAAAGATGGAGATCGAGTCGATCAGGGTTGCAGTTTAACAAAATAAGATCAATAAAAGCAGAACAGGGAACAATAGTCTAAAGTAGCTATGCCAGGGAGCAATAATAATGGATCATGGAATTTAAACTAGCGGGGGATGCAACTGTATGGGGAATATAACCAAAATGAAAATGCATACATTGTGCAAAAATGAAAAATGATGTAAGAATTATATAAAATAAAATATTTAAAAAATTAATATTTTAATTAATATTAACCGCTGCGGTGGCGGGCTGGGTTGTGAAGCTGCCAGCAGCTTCTGCAGCGCCAGTCCGATCCACGGCTGCCGGGCGAGGGTCCCACATGGCGCGCAGACCTCTCCTGCTGCCCGCTGCTCCCCTTAGCAGTGTATTTTGGTCCTTCTGCCTGTTCTGCTCCCTGCTCTGGCTCTGGTGAATTCTCTCACCCTCTTGCACTTCTGACTGTACCTAGTGCTTGTATAAATGAATAAATAAATCTTTAAAAAAATTTAAAAAAAATTAACTAGGTAAGCTAGGGCTCAAGGAGAATTTGGGATCATAAAAGGCACTAGGACCAATGGCATCGATTTAAAGATGCAAGAACACTAGTTTGAAGGGATATATGCACTCCTCTGTTCATTGCAGCACTATTTTCAATAGTCAAGTTATGGAAACAACCTAAGTGCCCAGTGGTAAGTGAGGATTATATCATGAAGATGATGATGTTGGTACTATGTGTGTACACATGCACACACAATGGAATACTACTTGGATATCTTCAAAAAAGATGAAAGCTTGCTTTTTGTGCCAACATGGGCAGAATTGAAGGGGATTATACTAAGTAAAGTAAGTCAGAAGGAGAAAGACAAATACTGGATAGTTTCACTCATCTGTAGAATATAAAGAAACAAACAAAGGAACAGACAAAGTTAAACCAAAACAAGTCCTAGAAATCTGACTGTAGAACTGAGGTTACCAGAGGGGTAGGGTAAAAGGTGAGAAGCACATAGGGAGGGGAGCCACCCTTTATGTGGGGGACTGTAGTAGGGATTATTGCAGCTTTGGTGATGAGTATGGTGTAGTGATACACATTTGAAGAGCTGGAATATTTTCTCAACATGATAAAGAATACACATCACAAACCAACAGCCAACCACAAGCTTAAAAAATGAAACAGGTAAGACCGTAGCATTATAAATAGGCTCAAGATATACAAAACCCTTAATTAAATGTCAAGATGTACTGGCAGAGGATGGAAAGATCAGTACACTAATTTCAAGTTATCTAAGAGAATCATTTTCAATGATTGGTATTCGTTGAGAACATATGTGGACTCAAAAAATATTTAACCCTTTTTGGTGTTAACGTTTCTACATTAGGATAACATACATACAGATAAACTGAGTTCTTCATTCTCAGCTGGCTTCTCTTCATTTTGGATGTCATGTCCATAGGCTTCTTCCAAATTAGAAACAACCTATGAAAAAATCAAAGCAAATTAAGTACTAGTGAAAGTGTTACATTAATGTAAAAGATATTTAATCAACCATATCAAGACTTTAGCAGTGCCATCAACATAAATTTTTCATCTCATGCCCTATTTCCCGTTATCATGAAGTTCTTCACCCTACTATCTAAAAAGGGGGAGAGGTCTATGACTCTTACATTTCTATGTTGACAGCTATTTAAAAGGAAAATGATCTGTCCATAAATAATTGAAGCACTCTATGTAACACCAAGGTATTCCTCAATATCTGACTTGATTTTCTTCTTCGAAGAGAGGGGGAAATAAGAGATGGAGACCAAAACCAAAAAAAATTTTAAAGGGCCTCCTCTGGTGGTTGAGCGCAGCACTGTGAAGCTGTCTGCAGCCTCTGCAGCGCGGGTTCAATTCCGGCCAGTGAGAATCTCACATGGCGCAGCAGACCTCTCCTGTCTTGCCCGCTGCTCCCCTCAGCAGTGTATTTCAGTCAGTCTGCCTGTTCTGTTCCCCTCTCTGTCTCTGGTGAATCCTCTTACCCTCCCGCACATCTGGCCTGTACCCCGGTTCTTGTATATGCATGAATAAATAAATCTTAAAAAAAATTATTTTAAAGATAATTCTCTGAACTAACACCTCAAATTTTAAGCAAACATATTTTTGAAAGTTTGACAAATTATATTCTTTTTATATTTGTGCCCCTCCTCATGGTTTTCACTTTGGTACATTTACAATTCAATTCTGGATCTTTATGCAAAAAGAAACTCAGAAAAAGGCTTTCCCCTAATCCTAAGAGCAAAAGTTTCTAAACTACAGAGTAGAGTTAACATAGCAGGCATGAGACTTAGACAGATCTATCCCTAGAAAGATCTGCTTACAAGGCTGGACTTAGGCTGGTGTCTCAGAACTTAGATTTCAGGACGGTCCCCACGATTCGCAGGTAACATGGGTCATTCACTGGTAACCCGTCCCTAAATTGAACAACAATGTGATTTATATTGAATACTTGCTTTCCTTCAGGGAGTCTAGATTTTGGTACGTCAAACAGAGAGTACTTAGGTGACCAACCCCAATAAAACCCAGGGCACTGAGTCTCTAGTGAAGTTTTCGGTTGGTATTTCATATGTTGTCACAATTTGCTGTTGCTAGAATTAAGCATATCCTATATGACTCCAAAAGTAGAATGTGAGGAGTCTGAACCTAGTATCCTCCAGACTTCACCCATGTACTTTTTCCTTTTACTGATTTTGCTTTGTATTCTTTCACTGCAACACGTCTTATTATCAGTATGGCAATGTGCTGAGTACAGTGAGTTTTTCTAGCAAATTATTAAACCCAGGGATAGTCATAGAGATCCCCAGCCCAGGGAGCAACCAGTATCTTACCATTTTCAGACGGTTGGTAACTGTACTGATCAATTCATCTTCTGCTATTAACTCCTTTGTCCTACTTGATGGAACAGGCAAAGCATACCTTATGAGGGAGTCTCCTGTTGGTGGAGATCTTAAGACCATTTGTTCAAAGTTATCACGTACTGATTTTGCAGTCTGTTTTTCCTTTGGTGCAAGTGATAATGGTGAATTAAGCAGTCTTTTTTTACGAGTTACTTCTGGTACTTTTGCCAACTTATTACTAGAGGTCAACAGATGTTTTACTGGCTTCATTTTGTTGTTTATTTAGTTTCCAAATTATAGATGAAATTTTTATTCTTCCCTGCAAATAAAACATTAAGATTTCAAATTTAAAATGATGGCAGAATTATCAACTGCTTTAAAGATGATTCCACAGTAAATTCTGGTACAATTATAAAACGGAGCTGGAAACATTTCTAACAAAAGACTGTGAGAAAACCCTAGAGGAGATTAAAGACTCATTTACATCTGGATAATCAAATTAAGGGAAGTGAAAACTGAACTAGGGTGGGTCCTAATCCAATGCCTGATGTCTGTACTGGAGTTAAAAATGGACAGAGACACAGATACAGATACCTGTAGATGAAAATGCCAGGTGAAGACAGAGACAGACAGGAGACATGAGTCTCAGGCCAGGGACACCTAGGACTACCAGCGCCCACCAGAAACTAGACACATGGAACAAAGTCTCCTGCAGAGCCTGCAGAGGGAACCAACTCTGCCCACACCGTGGTATTGTTGTAGAGCAACCCCGATACAAAACGGGGTGCCTGACTGTGGGTCCTCACCCGCGCGCTTAAAAGGACTTATCAATGCTCTACTGCAGGCACACGTGAAAGGTTAATAAAAGGTTTATTTACAAGGGAAAGGGAAATGAGGAAATGTACAGCTCTGGGAGAAAAAGTGGGAGACAAGGTTTTAAATGAGTCCTACCCGATCCGCCGATCAGGAATCCCAAAATGGCGCTCTGAGAGCTGGCCGCCAGCCAGGAGCGGTGAAGCCAGGAGGCGAGCGATCGCGAGCCAGAGCGAGAGCAAGGCCCACGTGTTTGGTTTTTATATCCAACCTGGCTGCCCAACTCCACCCTCAGGTCCCAGCCACCCTCCCCTTGGTGGTGATGGGATTTGTCTTTCCCAATGTCCTGATGGCTTTAGTCTGGAGTGGGGGTGGAGTCCACAAAGCCTGTATGAGATTATCTCAGGACATCCTTTCCCCCTAACAGTATCAGTCATCCAGCATTCAATACTATGGGGAAAATAACTTACTGCAGGCCCAGGAATGCTGGTGAAAATGATCCAATAGAAAGCAAAAGTCCAGAGAAGGAAATTGCTTAGATGATATCCATAAGCAAACAAAAAGAAATGAGTTGTAATACACAAATAGGTCAGGACATTTCAGATAGGCACAGGGAAAGCTCAACTATGATAGCTGAGTGGGAAGGCAGGTCTGCGGGTTACTTCAAGAAACCAGAAAAAGAAGGATGGAAGACTTACCAGGTGCTAGAAAAACTGATGGATCCATGAAAGTCATAACACAAAAATAAAAGTTACAAGCAGTGAACATTCGTATTTAGAAGAAAAGATTTAACGATTTTACACATTTACTTCATTTAACCCTCCGAATAATCCTAGGAGGTGGATATTTATCCCACCATAAATTTGCCCAAGTTTATCAGTTCTACCACAAAGAAAAATGTCTTGTGCTTTTCCTTCAAGGATTCTGTTGCTATTTATTCCTAACCTTTTAATGATCTGGTACACAAAATTGAGGGAGCGGGTGGGCACAAACGGTGTGTTTGCCTTAGATCTTGCATCAAAACCACAACTGCCAGAGAAGCAGTCACCTGGAAGCAAACTTGGGAAACCTAAATAAGGGACTAGGAAAAAGACTAATTATAATAAAACAAAAATCAACAAGCAACAAGAACTATAAACCAGATAGACACTATGGGGGAGGGGGAGGAGAGGAGAGGAGGGATTAGGATCAAAATAAGGGACTGGGAATTGCATGGGGACAAGCAAGGATGCTTTTGCATGGGAACCTAATGAAAACTCCCACAATTTAATGAAGTTCACCCCTTCCCTCCTCGTAGTGTACCTGCTGCGGCTGCTGGACGTCAGCTACTGGCTGCTTTGGCCTCGGCGAGGCTGGCCCTAATGTAAGGAAGTTGGAAATTTTGACCCCCCGGACTTCCTTCAAGACAGAAGCCTGCAAACCCTCTAGACAGCAGCTCGGCTGTTTCAAATATTAACATTGGAGCGGAATGAAAGCCGGTGGGGGGGGGGGGCTTGGCGCCCCACGGTGGGCAGCGATGACCTTTGGGCCTCCCGGCGGGCCCTGCTGTTGACGCTAAGACGTTGCCGCCAACGTCGATGGGAACGACGGGAAGCGCTGCTTCCCGGAAGCGGAAGTGAGGAATTTGGAGACTTGTGCTCCCACAAATGCCTAGCTGAGCTGCTTTCTCACCTGTGTGACTTCTTCCCTGACGCTTCACAAGCCCAGGTTCTTTCAGATATTTGCCCTAAAGAAATGAAACAGGGCCTCCCTGGTGGCGCAAGGGGTTAAGACGCAACCTGTGAAGCTGTCTGCAGCCACTGCAGCACGAGTTCCATCCCTGGCCAGGGAGCTACCCACATGGCGCTGCAGACCTCTCCTGTCTTGCCCGCTGCTCCCCTCAGCAGTGTATTTCAGTCAGTCTGCCTGTTCTGCTCCCCACTCTGTCTCTGGTGTATCCTCTTACCCCCCCCACATCTGGACTGTACCCCAATTCTTGTGTGCATAAATAAATCAATCTTAAAAAAAAGAAAAGAAAACACAAGCCTGGTCGGTTCTTCGAGACTTGGGCTTCCCCAGCAAAACCTGAGATCAGGTGCTCACCTGCCATTGTCTAATATTCCTTTCATTGCTAAGTTTTGTGCAGGGCGATGCTAGACTCTTAGGAAATTGTGCAGCAGCTCTGCATTTTAAAAACTAAGGTGGACTAGGAATGATCTCTAAGATGAATTGTGCCACACAAACAGGCTTTTGCATTGGTTTCCATGCACTTTTCATTAGCAGTTTTCTCAGGTACAGTTTTCAAATTTGACCTAATTTTGTTTTTAAAAAAATTGAAGATTAATTAAAAACCACTTCAAATACAGTCTTAGGATGAAAGATTTTTTAATATTAAAACTCTAACTTGATAATAACTTAATTGTTGATGATGACTGCTTGAAGAACCACTTCACCAAATTCCTGAAAAGTTAATAATCAGCTCTGGTGCAAACCATTTCCAGCACACCATTGGTAGTTACAGTTAGGATTAAAGAGAAGAAGGGAGAAAAGCTTTCTGGAGCACTACAAATATTTTATTTTCTCTTTCTGGGTGTGTTAAAAAATCACAAATGTTTGCAGTAACATTTGTGCAATTTTCAGTATGTATTACCTCAATAAGGGAAAATACATGCTTAGTAATCAAACTTATTCAGCATTACAATATATAAGTTCGGTAAATAGAAGGGGTAGGAAATATGGAACTAAAAATCAGAGAGACACCTTTGTTAAAATGAATTAATGAGATCAAATGAATGTGAGAAGAAGTAATAAATAGTAAAAGCAGACAAATAAAATTCCACATATGGAGAAGAGTTTTTGAAGAAAAACCCTGAAGTAAAGGTATAAAGTAAAACTCAACATTCAAGAATAAAAAGTACCAGAAATTCAACATGTTGAACTTTACCAATTTTATTGGTCCATATTACCAATAAAAACATCAACCCCCCCACCCTCAATCAGTAACAACTACAAGTAGGACATCCTGGGGAGAGGGATGCTCCAGATCACCTTCAGTAAAGGGCTTGTAGTCTTGTACCGTTTCTTTGTTGCTCTGATAGGACCAGGCAGCTTTCTCTAAGACAAAAGAAAATAAAAGCAAAAATACCCCCATATTTTCCATGATCCTATGGCCTGGAGCCCCTCAGAGTGTTACCATTCACTCCTTAGGTTTTTAAAAGAAAACACCCGAGTTACATATATACTAGGTGATGCTCTTACACTTAAATTTGCCTCATGAAGTTGAGGTCACCAGGCAGGATAAGTGGGGATGAAAATAATTAGATAGTTGGAAATAGGACTTACTAAATGGCAAAGACACCTTGAGGAGATCCTGGGCTGACCGAAATTTTGAGTGATCTGAAAAATTTACATATGATCCTTCCACACTTCTGACTCATCCATCAGGATTCCACTCCAAAAGTCACCCAGACACCCCAGTCACACAAACTCCCTTTCATACATCCTTACACAGGAGACTTCACTCACACAAACCCACATTCACCCTCTCACTAACACTTGTGCTGTTCACACAGACACCCTTTCATACATTCCCTCAACTGAGAAATCCCAGGCACCAGCCAACACGCGTGCATGTACACACACTCCTACCACACACCAGCATTACCGTCCTCATTCCCTCAGATTTGCCTGGCCATGTGCCTCTTTCTCTCACTTTCATCCATATTCCCCACATAAATCCCCTTCAACAAGTATTTACTGAGTGGCCAATAAGACTGTTTATCTATTTGGTCTCTGCTCTCAAGAAGCTCAAAGTTTTCTGGCATAGGGGGTAGGGGAGGAAGGAAATCACGTGAAAAAGCATGGAGTGAGACTGGGCCTAAAACTGAAGTAAGGCACAAAGAAAAGCAAGGGCAAAGGAGAGGGGAGAAGTAGGGGCAGAAGGAAAAGCAGTCATGGCTTTCTGAAGAGGTCAGGAGAAGGAGAAGCTGAAGAGAAGGTGTAGAGAAGAACAATCTTCAAGATTGTCCACCTTGTGAGATGGACAAGGGAGAAGGTTGGTCAGCAGAGAGAGAAGGTGAAGAAAGGGAGCATCAGCATCACATGACAAGGGTGTGATCTGCCTGAGCCCAGAGGGAGACAGCTGGGAGATGAGCATGGAAAAGTAAACAGGGACCGATGATGAAAACTCTTTGACACCATGAAAAGTAATTTGGAATTTATTTAATATTCAATGATGAGTCACTCCGGATGCTTTTGCTGGGAAGTAACAGAAAAAGTTGAAACTTCAGACTTAACCAGTAAACAAAATAGAATCACTCATATAAATGGAGGCTCAGACTAAGGGCACAATATGCTCAGTGTCAACAAAGATTCAATTTTCGCCTGTTCCCTGTACCATCCTCATCACATTGCTGGCCTTTCTCAAGATCACAAAATGGCTGCAGTGGCATTAGGTTTTGCTTCCTCACACAACAACATCCAGAGGCAGAAAAAGAATCTCTTTATTAAACACAGGACTAGGAATCCTTTTCTTGTGTCTCTTTTTAAAAACTAGGACTCCTTTCCCCAGAACTTCCCCAACTCCAGCAGATTTTTTATGCTCCTCAAATTCATATGCCCTTTTGTAAGTTAATGTGCCCTTGTCTTGATTAATTAAGACCTGTTCCTGATGATCTTGGAAACCTATGGCTGACAGAGGAAGAGACTTAAACTTAAATCTTAACTTTTTTTTTTTTTTGGCAAAGTAGGGGGTGTCATTCACCATCATTGTTCTGTGCACCCTGGAGGGTTTTACTTGGTGTTGGTGGCCAAATTTTTTTTTTTTTTCTTTACACTTTTATTTTTTTTTTTAATTTTTTTTTTAATAAATTTTATTGTTATATTCCCCATACAATTGCAGCCCCCCCATTCTGACCCCAGTCCCTCCTCCCCCCCCACCCCCCTAAAAGTGTCTCTGGTTCATAGTTTTTTGTTGATTTTGATTTTCACTTTCTTGTAGTTATTCATTTTCCTGGTCCCTTATTTAAGTTTTCTAGATTCCTGCTATGAGTGAGACCATCCGGTATTTTTCTTTTTCTTTTTGGCTTATTTCGCTGAGCATGATCCCTTCCAGCGCCATCCATGTTGCTGCAAATTGCATGTGTTTATCTTTTTTGAATGCTGAGTAATATTCCATGGTATATATGTACCACATCTTCTTGATCCAGTCATCTATTTTTGGGCATTTGGGTTGTTTCCAAAGCTTAGCTATTGTAAATAGTGCTGCTATAAACATAGGGGTGCAGGTGTTCTTTGGAATTGATGTTTCTGTGTCCTTTGGGTAAATACCTAGGAGTGGAATTGCTGGATCATATGGAAGCTCTATGTTTAGTAGGTCCAGAAATCTCCATACAGCTTTCCACAGTGGTTGGACCAGTTTGCACTCTTGGTGGCCAAATTTACACTGTAGGAAGATGAAGCTGACGAGAGCTTTCAGGAGAGATGAGAGAGAGCAGAGGCAATAAAACCAGTGCGGAATTTGAAATAATAGCCTCTACTAGAGCTAATGCAGCCAAGGAAAAAGGGACAAAAGTGGACGTTATTTAAGACACAATAAAATTTGGATAAGAAGATGAGGGAGGGGAGGAGCCCAGGCAAACCTGGGGCCCTCAGGGGCATGTTCATGTCCCTCTGGGAAAATCACCTAAGAGCCCATCAAAGCCACTCAGGATTCTGCAAAGGAAGAGCTTTCCAAATTTAGACACCCCACTAGGAACACAAGCCCATGTGAATGGCCTATAAGAACATGAAGAAGTTCTCGCTGTCGTTAGTCACCAGGAAAATGCAAACTACAACTATAATGCATTACTAATAAAACCCATTCAACAAGGTAAATTAAGAACACTAACACCATCACATGGTGGTGAAGATATAGAGTAACCAGAACTCTTATACATGGCTGGCTCCACACACTCTGGATTTTGAGTCTCTATGACCTTTTTTTTTTAAAAGATCTATTTATTTATGCATACAAGAACTGGGGTGTAAGGCAGAGGTGCGGGGGATGAAAGGATTCACCCGAGACAGAATGGGGAGCAGAACAGATGGATCTACTGAAATACACTGCTGAGGGGAGAGTGGGTGAGACAGGAGAGGTCTGCTGTGCCATGTGGGTTGCTCCCTGGCCAGCCTGGGATCAACTCAGACTGCAGTGGCTGGCGATAGCTTGATAGCACTGTCTTTAACCCCTGCACCACCAGGGAGGCCCGAGTCTCTATGACCTTTATGATGACAGTTTAACCTTTGCCCTCTACTCTGTTTTATTCTTTAATTTGTCCAGGACCCCAGGGAGAAAAAGCCCCCTCCCCAACAATTCCCTCATCTCTGAAATGGTGATAATCCCCCCATGGGGTTATACTGAGAGCGGACTGGGGTGATTCGGGTCCTGGGACAGCACAGACGTATGCATACTAGGTTTCCTCCTTACCTTTTCCCTCAAAGAGCTGGTCGCCTTCTGGGAAATACTTTTCTTACTCCTTTCATGCCCCATGATGTCCATTCTCTGTTTTTCCCACTTCCTTGCTATTTCCAGGACAAGAGCCTGTAAGC